GAAATTGGAAATGGCAAAATGGAAGTTAAACAACATAGACAAAATTTAAGTACAACATAAGTGACGACTGAGCCTAAAGTAGCTCTCAACCCAAAGGTTTTGGGCTGAACACAAACTTTGCATTGAACTCTAATTTGGTTCATATTGTTTAAAATATATTTTTATGTCCTTAGTAATGCAGCATGATATCATACCTGTGTCGGTGGATAGTTCATGTCAAAATTGAGTCGGCTTGGTGAACTATTACTTTGTAATACAGACTCTGTTTGCTTGGATTTAATTACAATCTAACAAACAGAAGCAAGATGTTGGTTACTAAAAATGATGATTGTCAATCTAGAAAGACTAAAAACTTTGGGTTTCCTGTGATATGATCTAAAACTTTTGGGTTTCCTGTGTTGAGTTATAAAGAAGTTGGGTTTCCTATGTCAACAGGAAAGACATCTCTGGCTGTACATGTATTGAAGTGTTATTCTATAAACTACAAAGTAAACTAATAAATGAGGACAGGTCTTGATATGCATAATGATGATGATGATGATGATTGAGGTATCATAACCTATAAGGGACTTGAAATGTGTAGCGCCGTGCCATCCGTTGGAATATAAAAATCTAATTTCCATCTCATTTCCTTATTTGGAATAATTCAATTTACCCTAGCCAACCAGAATGGGCCTTAAATCTCTTATCCAACAACAGAATTTTCCAAATATGGTCATAACATATGTTTTCAAATATTTTAATGAGCTTTGAATATCTCGACGCTTGGTACTAAAGAAATGTATGGTTGCTAGATGTTTCAAGTCCCTTATAGGTTTCTGTTGATATTTTATACCTTTTTTGCTTTCTTGAACACTGGGGTCATGTCTCTAAATAAATCCTCAGTATTCAGCTCAGCACTGGTGTCATCTTGCTGATTTGAGGGGGGTGGGGTAGAGGGTTCTATTTTGATACTAAATTGTTCATCATTACCCCACTCTGTCCACTCTGAGTCTTGAGTTGTACTCTGCATTTTAGATAACAAAGAGAATAGATATATTGATAAAGAATACAACAGAATTGTTGGATATCAAGCAAGATAAAATTGAAATAATGAAATAATGTTGTAAATAATGACCTCCTGTTCTGTCTCGGTGCACATAATAATACACAACTTTCGAAAATGGCGCCAGTTCACGTCCGCCTATATTGGGGACTAGTGACGAATCATGGAAACGAGACCTCAAAGACCTTCCATCAAGAAATCACYACGAAGATCGTATGTAGGCAGTGTCCAAAAGTTTGAAAGATTTATTGGTATGTGATTTATAACAAAACACTCTTGCATGACACCATTGAAGCTCACTATACGGAGGCTGCCCGGATTTGAGACCTCGTTTTAGTGCTTCGTCCCAAGTGCCCTGGTCAACGACTGTGACCAATCGCACCATTTTTGAAAGTCGTGAATGACCTGTTTGTACATGTAGTTTGAATGTAATAAACTAATCACCCCGCTCTTCCCTGCTGAATTCAACCCTCCCCGGCTTTTAGAATCTTTGATTATCAGAAATAAAGAATGCTTCAAAACAATGAGAGTATATATTAAMRAGGGTGATGAATGTCATGACGACAAGAACACTGTTCATACTCATCATTTGCCTTTCCATGCTCCCTTTCAGGCTTAGATTCAATGATATAGCATTACATATAGCCCACCAATGTTTTCAATTAGGTGTATTCTAACCATGAATGATGACAATAATTTAAAAATAATCATTGAAATTATTCTGTAATTGAATTATATAAAAACGCGATACAAAACTTACTGTAAGGTTTATATATTCAACACAGAAGTGGCAGAAGAAGCAAGAGAAGTGTGCGGAATTTTGTACAAGTTTTGATTTACAGAATCTTTTCAACACTAATCGTTCTTCTGCTGTATAGCTTTTCTTATCAATGATGAAAGAAGGAAATCTTCGCCAATAAACACGATAGTTATACGATGATTCATGTCAACAAAACAAATACAATCTTCACTATCAAAAAATAGCATTAGTTATATTTAACAAAGTGTAAAGATATGAAAGAAGATTTTTTTACCTCATTCGTCGGCTGTAGTTGACTTGGATCAGTGCTATTGATAACAGGCAAGGCATTTGACGTGCCACTGTTCTTGCGATTTCGTCCTTTACCGAAAATTCTCTTGATTAAGTTGATAATGTATGTAAAACAAGATAAAATACGTGTAATATTCCACCAAATGACCTTCATTTTGAAGTTGAACACGTTCAACTAAATAAAATCAATTCATGTCCGCCATATTGGAAGTTCGATAACACAGGGAACCCAAGCTGGTGCTAATAAAAGTGGGCTTCCTGTGGTAGTTTTGGAATATAAAATACCTGTGGCATGGATAGGAAACKCCCTGCTATTTTGCTTCCATCAAACTTTCTTTGATAAATAGAAAGTATAAAGAGGCTTTCTTCCTGAAGTAAACACGTAGCTACAGTCCACAGAAGTTCACATTTTTAACTGGACAATTCAGTTCTTTTTTAATTTCTTTAAATTTAAATTCATAAGAAATTAAAACAAGAAATACATTTAAAAAGATTAGAAAAGTAAAAGTACTCGCTTCCTTTGCACGAGCGCGCTATTAAAATGTGCATTACGCCATGATCGCGTGACTTACAGGAAACAACATATATGCTGTGACAACTACTTTCGTTTGTATTACGATATTCACTTTCAGTGTTATCAATGATTTTGCTATATGCGATTGTATGATAGTCAAGTTTTCTTAATAATTCATTTATTTCAAGAACGTCCAAGTCCCGTCATGCATCACATAATGGCAATTCCACATAGATACGTGACAAGTCACGCAAGTGATATCCTGTCTAATGCACCTGCTAAAAAAACATCATCTCGTACCACAAGTGAAAAACACAGCTTAGCAAACACATTGTTTACAGAAGTGGTTTTATTTCTATTTATGAGTAGTCATTTTACATTATAGTTTCATGATGTTTCGAAGATGAACGATGCGGTTTTACATGTAGTGAATGTCTTGACATGTGTAATTCTGACGCCATTTCCTTGAAGGCATTTCTATAATTCGAACTCTGAAAAACGTAAATGATAGGGTTCGAAGCTGATGGAAGATAAACAAACAAGAAYGAAAGCTGAGAGAAAGCATTGTTAATTGGAACTAATCCAAGTTCGTAGAACATTTTTTCAAATGCAAATATACCAAACGAAATTGTGAAAATCACAGAGACGCAAACAAGTGTGCAAATGACTCTACGCTTTGCTGAAAAGTCAGCTTGATGATTTTGGTTGGATTCATTTCGTCTCTGCCGTCGATTTAACTCAACAACTATGCTAAAATAGCAATAATAGATAATAAATAATGGAAGGATAAATAAAAATACGAAAAGAAAGATGTAGTATCCGATTGCTTGATTCTCATTCCAGTCCAGAGTGCACGACTCTGTTGTTGTATCGTGTTCCGTGTAAATAAAAACAGGCAATGAGCACAGCAGCGCTGCCAGCCATGTGGGAATAGCAACATAGATTATTTTCTTTTTCTTTAGACGTCTTTTGCGGTGAAATGGCAAAACCATGGCATTATATCTTTCCACGGCAACTACTGTCATTAATAGTATACTGACTATCAAAGTTATCACGATCAGACCTCCAATTGATAGAAATCTGCACAAAAACCAACCAAAACTGGTTTTGGGTAAGCCGTATCGCTCAATTATCTCCACCGGGATGCTCCAGATTATAGTTAGAAGATCCGCAAAGCTGAGATTCGCAAGGAGAAGGTTGGTTGTGGTTCTCATCGAAGGCTTTCGCTTAACAACACTGATAACGAGAACATTACCAATAATACCAATAATGACAATGATAGAGTACAAGACAGAATAAATGACACTTATAATGGCGCCATTATTGTCACTGGCAACTGAACTTGTATTTGTGAGATTATTGAGGTTTCCTTGGTCCATTCTTAGTCTTGAAATAGGTCCTTTTTGCTGTCTCCTGACGTCTTTATCATTATAAACAATTATACCCTGAGTAGCTTGTCAGTGACCGTGAACTCTTTCCGGGGTTTTCTTTTAGTTCTTTGTGATTGATGTATTCAGTATACGTCGTCCAGTATATTTCTCTTCAATATTTGCTCTTTCGGTTCGCTATGACCTAATTCGAAACCTCACCAAAATATTGCATATTTATGTACAAGTCAATAAAAAGCAGTGGCTGAAAATGGCGAGGCGTTAACTAGATGTCAGGTTTCTAAAACCACATACAAGATGGCCTTGATAATTCAATCAATTATTTGGTCAAACATCGAACTATCCTTGTCAATATTAGGGACTACTGACCAATCAGCTTTGAGAATGACTGTGAAATTAATAACCAATGAAATTTGATTAAAAAACCCTGAAGAAATAAAATATGACAGTGAAGGTGCCCAGCAATATGAGTTTTAAGACAAAACCACTTTAACCAAAGCTCTGATTGAAAGCTCTGATTGTTTTGAGAGCCAAAATGGAAAAATTGGACATTATGAAGCGAGTCTCTTTTGTAATGATTCAAAGTCTCCCGCTAACGAAAATGTCCGTTTATTCGGCCCCTCGTAGAATTAAGCATATTTAATCATGATATGGAAAGATTTATTACAACAATAATTGCAGAGTATATTTGGCATTTTAATAAGAACTGTGTCGGGTATAAAATGGTCGCAAAAAAATGTTAAAATGGATAGATTTAGAGTTACATCCGATAAAATGAAATTCCTTTCAGATGACAGCATTCCAAAAGCACTGAGAATCAACAATGTAGCAGCTTCTAGTTGATAATACTTTATCTTACGTACTTTAACTATGGATATTCTATAAAAAATGCTTCACAGCCAAAGGGTTGAATACTCGTCGTCCCATAGTTTCGAAATCTCTTTTACGCCACAATTGCACATCTACTTATTCTTGACAGAGTTTTTGCATTACAATAGGACTTCGATACAATAAAAAAACATACGCGCTTTTAAGGCTCGATCATACTGCGTGAAAATAAAGATCTCGAAAGTTTTAGGCATATATTTTATCGTTAAAATCATGTTTACAGTGAGAAATCCCACTGACAAAGACGACAATTGACCCAGTCCTAGTTCAATTCTCATTTTCATTTTCATTTTTTTTCTCTCTCGTTTTTAACTCCCTTTTTGTTGTTGTTGTTTTCCTTTCATTCTCTCTGTGTTATAGTATTTACGTAGAGTACTATATATATGTCAAACTAAATCTACATGAAGATTCAAGCTATTTGCTAGCGGTACACGACCAAATAATTGATTCTGTTCAGTTTTGGCAAGCCTGTCATATTCCGCACAAATAGCGTCACTTAAATAATCAATGAGTACAACTGAACAACAAATCTGTCAAAAACACTTGCTTTAAAAACATCGATGACTGGTAGCTTCAATACAAAACGTTTTGGGGGTTTAGTTTGCTTTCCCAAACAAATTTCTATACCCAAAACTCCGGTAGAAAACCGAGCCACTAAGATTGCTTGTCTGCTGTGGCTAGGTGAATTGTTTACGTATATTAGAAGTAGCTATAATGACGAACTAGTTCAGGAAGCTAAATTCACAGATTATCATACGGTATTTACAGAGATTGAATGACTGCTATGTGTATTGTATGTTTGTATTTGATATGGTTGTAAGTAAATGTGCCCTTAAAAATAAAATGACAATTCAAGTTCGAATTCTTGCTTTGTAAATTTCATGAGTGAAAGCGATAAAAGGCCGGTATCACTGGRAAAAAATCGCGCACTTGGTTGACTTGATTGATAAATGATTTACATCAAATTTTGGACACTTGCATCATATTTACATCAAATTTAACCTTGAAAGTGTGCGTTTTATTCCAGTGTATGTTCTACTGAGATACACWTGTGGTTTCCCAAAGGGAGTTCAMGCATTTGTTAAAACATCAATGCAAAAACYTTCATTTTACACTAATCGATGAACTTAATCCGTGAAATTGTATTATACCATAATTATAGAGTTGATATTTCGAGGGGGTAAATTTGTTTTTGTGGACCGGAACACGGTTATTTATAGCCCGAGAGGACGTCCGAGCAATGAGAATGGGCATTTATTAAAAAGCCTTTACTATATTCTACCAAAGCTTCAGAACAAAATTTACATCTCATACTTGACATACATGATCTCCTTAATTTATATCATGRCTGCAGTGTCATATTACATGAATTTCGATGTCCGGAATATTGTTCTTTATGCATAAGACGTTGTATGCTCGTTATAACAATATGCCAGACAATATCTAGACAACAACTTTGACTGTAATCATCCAGAGTTCAGTAGGATTTTCGGTCTAGGTTCAAAACCACTATTCACCATTAACTGTTTGTATGATTGACAGGTCAAATTATCCAATCAGAACGTCGATAGTGATGAGAGGACTTTTGCCCAGCGTTGTCGCGATGATCGGCCTCAGCSCTAGGCGACTACGGGCCCACTAAGGATTATGGGATAGAAATCTTTCAACGATGAAACATGAAAATAAATAAAATCCTAACAATATATTGATACACAGCAACTTAATTTGTTATCCTTGTGGAAAACACGAAGGCAATCAATGTGACTTAGCAGCCTCGTTACCATGATATACACATACTCCTTAGCAGCCTCGTTACCATGATATACCCATACTCCTTAGCGGTCTATTCGTTAAGATTGTTTAGAGTCCGACAAGAGACAAGGTATATGCAAAAGGCTGTAAATATCAGACGCGCTCAGGCCATAGCGGGCGTATTAGAAGTTTTCTTTGTTATAAAAGAATTTGGCGCCTGTACTGATATCACTGTGTGTGTCAGCCATCTTGTGAAGAGTGTGAGATAGTACGGCTGGTCCACAGAAGAAAACACCAATATTGGTCCTGGACACAGACAAAGTGTTAGTTTATTATAAAGCATTGTCCAYTAGCAACAATGGTCCTTTCSACTTATGACGTCATCTTYGTTTTGCCGAAATGYATCATGGTATTKTTAAAATGTCAATATGGCGGATATCTTATTGAGAAATACATTTCTTTTATCAATTTTTCAATGTTTTTCATTAATTTCTTACGTGCAAAAATAACCAGAATCACCACATTGCTTTTATACATTATTTYATAAATATTATGGAAAAAATACGAGATACAAGTAAACTACATTCAAAGGGGAGCACTGTCTTCCCAGACACCCCCTCTACCCCCCTTATTATACTAAAAGCAGCGGTAAATATCAATCTTAACCACCATGATATTCTAGGAACTATGTGATGCATACCTAGGGTGATGCCTAGCAATCTTCTCAAATATTCCATTCCATTCTGGTCGACCATAACGAGTTTTTTGTTGTAGTTGAGTTATCGGGTCAACGTCCTGGTCTTCACGAAGATAWAGGTCACGTGCCTGAGAGACRYGTCAATTAATCAAGTCCCCATGGTAAAATGTACCAAATATGGTGTCAAATGAGTGGAAAAATAACGGAAGTTATAAAAGAGAAGAGCAAGAAAAACAAACAAATGAACATGGAAAGATAAAAGGGAATTAAAAGGAAATGAAGACAAAAGAAAGACATGAACGGCAGGAAATTCGAAAAGTAGGAAATGTTATCAAAGGGAATGGAGAGACTAACTCTAAACAGAAAAGACGAAAAGTCGAGAGGACAAAACAATTCTGCAAGAGAGAGACGCATATTGGGATAAAAAAAAAACAGTCATGTGACATGCATACCATATTTGGTCCCCAGCCTCTTGTCAGGAAAATATTGTACTCGATAAAGTCTTTATTGTTGCATTCGTTCATCTAAAAAAAGTATCCATAAATTGGTTAATACATTATAAGATAAAATGAAAGTCTTATTCCATCTCTCCTGATTTCAGTCGGTAATCTATATTTGAGGGCCGGGTGAACAACTGAACTAACAACTACATTCAGTAACTGAGAAACACTTAGTGCAAGCAAAAACCTCTAAGAAGATTAATAGCAAGGGTTTGTAGTATTAAAAGAAAAACATATAAAACCAGCAGATAGACCACTATCCATGGTAGCTGTGGTTGTACTGTGGTCCATCTTACACGAAATACAAACAATGGAAATCTATAGTCCTCAGAAAGAAGGTTGTTTTTAATCTTATTTGAATCGAGCGCATCATGCTGTGATAGTTGCCCGCAAAAACTGCATGTTCCAAAAAAAACCGTTGACTACTGCCCTATTGTTTTTAATATTCAACAACAATCTTTTTCCGAAGCAGCGGACTCTATGCACCCACCAGTCGGGCAATGCTATTGCGTCAGGTGGTCGAGTCTCCACCAATAAGAGGGTGAAAAATTTGTTGTTAAATTTAAAATTCATGTAGTGATCTATCTTAGTTGAGATACCTGGTCCTCAAGGCTTTTCAACAAGTCAGTAAACCATTCAAACGCGTTTGTGTCTGGACAAATCCAGAAGAAGTAAACTTTCTTGACGTTGAGCTCAGTGTCWGCCTTGCTGTGGCGATACCTTGGAATCAATTAGAATTGCTTTCATTAACCCGTGAAACAAGTGTATGAGAGAATCAGTGTCAAGTAAAATAACCGTGAAATATATATTGCACTGAAGAGGTGCGTGTCTTCGCCATTATGCGAATATCAACCATGAACGCTTTGTTTTCAGATAATTCTAATATCTTATGTTCTTTTTTTTAGCAACTCTCTTGTTCTTTTCTCCAATACACCTCTTTCCTTTAATTGATTTCTCGTTACCATGCCTACCCTGCTCCTATTACTTTCTTTGCTAGTCTCATTATATAAACTCACACTTTATCGTAGTTCCATCTCTTTACTCCGACAATGGATTAACGTCCGAAACGTCAGTAAGATATTCCACCTACTTTTTTACTGTGTTAAATCTATCTTTTTACTAAATATGAACAAGCCGGACTCACCATATTGATTTAAGGATCGATGCAAATGGCGTGACACCTATACCAGCTCCTACCAACACACACACTGAATACTTGGGGTGGAAAACATCCTATGAACATTGGCGAATGGAATTGGTTAGGCAAACAACTACACAAATTCTTAACAAAAAAATACAGCATTGAAAAGCTGCGAACTGGTGCACACAGCCTACATCAACAAACCCATCAAACTAGCATACAATCGACTATGTCCACTGGATCCAATTGCTATGCAGGTCAATGAAACAGCAGCAGACCGATAAGATGAAGTGATCATGAGTGCAATCAATCACTTAGGGCACCCATCATGGTAACTCAACTCACCAAATCAACAAACCAACCAGCCAAAATCAACCCAGCCAACAATTCATCTCGAATTGAATATAAAAAGAAYYCRGAGTCCTTTAAACTTTTCAACAGACMAGCAAACATGTACAAAAACCAAGCAATCATCTCACCTCACTCGAGGTACCAAAAGGACCATCCACTGCGAGCCTAAAAAGACAAGAAAAATATAGGAAATTTAGGGGGAGTAGCTAGTTGGGTAGGGGGAGCAGCACCCCCTATGGTTGATACACATTTCTCCAATACTTAGCGCATCATATGCTCTTGGAGAAAAAGTCTTTGATTGTTTCTAGTCTCCACTAGTGTCAGTCTATCTGAACCCCGCTGCCTTTCTTTCCTTGATGCGCTTCTGAGCTGCCTCGCAGATCAACAAGGAAATTGCTCTTCCTCACGCCATTATCATTGAGTTGTGGGCAGAGGGTAGAGTTGGATCTTCTTTAGAATCGCATCAATACAAATTATAATACCACCACTAAGCGCGAGCAATAGCTTGGGAAACTGGGGATAGCCTACTGTTTTAAGGTCACAACCACGTGACATACAAAACACTTTTAAAAGAAAACAAAAACACAAYAAATAACAAGGTTGCTTACTTTGGCATGTCGTCCACATTGAGTAACTCATARCCATCGCAGCCGCATAGTTTTGCAAGTGAGCCTAACATTAGAAAATATATATCAACGTTTACCAAAACTAGATCCCATACCCCTTACATCTCTGTTTGGATGTGAGGGCTTGGGATCGAGGTGATTTTGGTGGTAGTCGATATCAAGTTGCCTAGATCTTCCTGATGAATGTTCAATAAGTATATAACCTACTCTTTATCCCTTAATGGTATGAAAACACATTCAAAACTCATCACCTAACTCTACACCACAAATGGCATATTACTTACGCGTCCAGTCTCCTACCAGACGRATGTGGACGGAAAAACACTCCTCCTCTGGGGCCTGGGTAGAAAAGCAAGTATTGAAGAAGCAAGTATAAGAATGTTAGTAAGAAATGACTGAATGTCCAYGTTCTTTGATTGGGAAATGGAGACCGCAGTAGAAGCAAGATTAAAAACGYTGCAAGAGCAAAATAATCCGGTACCAATGTTTGCGAGCTCTGAAATAAGTATRCTCATCAGCCAATTAGAGTGTGAACGGTCCATTCCGTACAAAGGTCGCGTACGTGTCTGTTATAAAGATTGTACAATGATTGACTTACCGAGGTGAGGGTGAATGGATGCCACTCAAGTCTCGAGATGGCAGGACACTGAAGGAATATGTACTACAAGGAAAACACATACATAAATATTATATAATAATATTACAAAAACATTAAAATATAGTACAAATTATTGACTAGCTTGTTCCTGTCAGTGTAGTATTTTTATCACTGTCTTTCACAAGAGTGCATCGGTCTCTGTTAATAGTTATCTGTCTGTCAATCGTTATCTGTCTGTCAATCGTTGTCTGTCTGTCTGTCAATCGTTGTCTGTCTGTCAATCGTTGTCTGTCTGTCCTTACCTGCCCTGCTTCCTGTTTGAAGCCTTTTTTCTTCATTTTGATCTGGATGACATTCGATGGATGCTTGACAACCTACATATTAACAAAAAGCCATGACAAACTAGACACGGACAGCAAATTGACAGCAAAAGTCCATAATGTGAATGGTGGTAGGTACCAATAAGCGTACTTGCCCAACGATTGCTTGAGAGAGAAAACGAACGAGCTGCGCAAGCTTTTTATCTATCGGCGCGGATTTCCAATGGTATTATGTCACGATGGCCCATGTCTCGCGGGATATATATGTGCCGGTAAATAACATATATGTCTGTTAAGCCTTGACACAGACTAGTTTGCATCCCGCGAGAAACGGGCGCGTCGATCGATAAAAAGCGCGCGCATTATCGTTTTTTCTCTCTCAAGGAATAGTTGGGCAGCCTGTGACTTACTTTGATAATTTGGATGGGCTGCTTTGAACGATACAAACGAATCAGTCTCTCGACGACAATCAAGAACATTGGACCAACAATCCACTTCCACGTCTACCAAGAACAATACAATAACATTGATCATTAAATAACTTATTATCTATCATCAGGAAGAGAAATAGATATCTTGACGTTTCATATCTATGAAATGATTAAAGCAATATAAAAATAATTTTGACTCCGTCTGCATGCCATATTCAACTATCGCTGTTTTATTTATTTATCTTTTTTTTTGTCTAGCACGTGTACTTGCGGAAAGGATTAGCAGTGATGGTATCCCATAAGTTTTAAGGCACTTTGAAATACTATTTATACTAGGAATTTGGAGAGTTACAATTGTTGCAAAAAGCTGTCGCTACTATCAATTA